GATAGAGAAAGAATAGCCAACTCATCCAGAATTCTTCCTGGAGGCTCCCAGGCAGCAGCTGTCCAGAATATCACCATGGAAGCAATTCCCTTTTTTATTCAGTAATCTATGTCCCAGCACTTACAATTTAGTTTACAAAATTTAATCCCTCTGATGCTTGATCCATGTCAGGAACAGGGTGGCCATCTGTAGCTTGCTTAAACTGGATTTCCTCATTCTAGGAGGCGGAAAGGATACGTCTATTTCTGTCAGCTACCTAAGGAAGCACCAGAGCAGAAACTTGGCCATTTCATTCCTCCATCTTACTTGTTCCAGATGTCCAAAAAATCCAGTTTAAAAGCACATCAGGAATCCTACCCTCTAGCTTTTTGGAAACTCAATTTGCAGCAAGATTTCTCAAAATTCAATAAACTATACTCATTGCTTCATCTCCTAATACTGAAAAGCAGTGGTGCTGTGCCATCCATAATTTTAAAAGGCACATCACAAGTGTTTTTGACTCTCTGCACCCTAGATTCATGCCTTATCAGTCCTAGGTGAAATCCATCCCTGTGCAGAGTGGCAGTACAATACCTATGTAATAGGGCTGTGTGAAGCTTTGGTTGCCGATTCAATTTGGAGGAGATTTGGCCCAATTCGGAGGCAGAATCTCCAAATCTGAATTGAAATCGGGAGACCAATAAAAAGTTCTGAATTGATCTGAAGCCTCCAAAATGATTCAGAGGAGATTCAGAGATTTGGGCAGTCCCTGCTTGCTGCCGCAGGGAGCTGGAACTGGATTCTCTGCTGGTAAGTAGGGGGCAAGGGGAAGGAGACAATGGGGAGGCCCCCACTAGGCCCCATCCTCTGCCTGCTCCCTGAGCACCCCCCCGACTGCTCTCCCAGCCCTGTCAATGGCTGCCCCACCCAGCCCCAGCATCCCACAGTTTAAAAAAAAAAGCCCTGCATTCACCAGCTGCTGCAGTGGCTGTCAGGGCCTCTGGGGGCTCATGGCAGAACCCCCCAACACAGCATGGGGCAGTGCGGGGCAGCAGGGATCACCCCCCCAACCTGGCAGGAGCCAATGAGTGTGAGGCTTTTTTTTTTTTTTTTTACATGCTTGATGCTGGGCCTGAGTGGGGCAGCCATTGATGGGGCTGGGAGAATGGGTGGAGGATGGGGCCTGTTTGATTCAGAGATTCAGCTGATTCAGCAGTAGGCGAAGCTCCGAATCATATTTGGCTGAATTGATTTGAATCACCTAATCAAATCACTGTCCCCCAAATCAGCTGAATCCAACTCCAAAGTGAATAGGCCTGTGCAAAGCAGCTCATACTGTGTAATGCTTAAACAAAATTCCAGTGGTGTGGATGCCTTCTACTGCTAGTGTGCACAGAAATGAATTTTACTCAGTTATTTTATGGTATAAATGACCAGTTATTTCAAGGTATAAAAATTATTTTTAAGGTATAAAAATTAAACACACTATCTTAATAATAAGTTATGGTATGGGGCTGAATGAAAGGTATCCTCTAGCTTTAACTACACATACACGTGATGTGCAATACTTTGCACTGACATTTTGAGGAATTCACTTCACTATGGTGTCCCTCCCTCTCTTTTCTTTTGGACCATATTTACACACAAATATAAACATGCATGCAAATTCTTTCTTTTAAGAGGTCCTTCATTTTAGTCTGAAAATTATTCATGCTCCCCACATATTTGGTGTCTCCTCAGTTCTACTGCTGACAATTATTAACATCAGAAGTGAAAGGGAGGTCACAGGAAGAGAATGATTTATACCAGTGGTGCTCAACATTTGACCCCACAGTGGCACTGCTCCCTCCTGCCAAGTTTTTGGGCCCATGGAAAGCCCCACAGGCCAGATAACATGGTGCTGCAAGCTGCATCTAGCCCACAGGCTGGAAGTTGAGTACCCCTGATTTACACCAAATGGTTGGATTCCCTGGGATTTAAAACTTCCTGCAGGTATCTCTTATTTTGCATTACACACACTGTCTACCACCTCAGTTGGAAATTATGATTGGCTCACACACACCTACACACGAATCAAAAACTATATTTTCAGATAAATTTTCTTCCCAAGTTAGGAAAAAAAACCTCCTGAGGTTCTTGGGTGCATCTACATGAGATACTTAATGAGCGTTAGATTAAGTCTACTGCACATTAGCACAGTGTTTGCCAGTCACGCTAATGTGCAGTAGACTTAGTCTAATGCACATTAATGTCACAAAAATGCATTTATCTGCACTAATGCACAGTAGCACTAATTACGGTGCATAAAGTTACTACCTGTAATAACAGGTACCATCTTAATGCACCATAATTACAGTACATTAATGAACATGTAGATGCACCCTTTGAGAACAGTCACGTACTGTTATTTGTACTGAACTGTACCAAATAGTAGTGTTTTAATATATGCACGGGTTTAAAGGGTGCAGGATAAAACTAGTAAACTCATTATTACTTGTGATACTGGAAAGAGACACAAACCTCAGTTTCAGGAAGTTAAAGATTCAAGGCAAGTTTTTAAAAAGAGATATTGCCCATTTAGTCACCTGAGCAAAATTACAAGACTGAAGTGGGAGCTGCGCTCATTCCTGACCATTTCTGAAAACATGCTTCCTGCAGGTATCTCTTATTTTGCATTACACACACTGTCTACCACCTCAGTTGGAAATTATGATTGGCTCACACACACCTACACACGAATCAAAAACTATATTTTCAGATAAATTTTCTTCCCAAGTTAGGAAAAAAAACCTCCTGAGGTTCTTGGGTGCATCTACATGAGATACTTAATGAGCGTTAGATTAAGTCTACTGCACATTAGCACAGTGTTTGCCAGTCACGCTAATGTGCAGTAGACTTAGTCTAATGCACATTAATGTCACAAAAATGCATTTATCTGCACTAATGCACAGTAGCACTAATTACGGTGCATAAAGTTACTACCTGTAATAACAGGTACCATCTTAATGCACCATAATTACAGTACATTAATGAACATGTAGATGCACCCTTTGAGAACAGTCACGTACTGTTATTTGTACTGAACTGTACCAAATAGTAGTGTTTTAATATATGCACGGGTTTAAAGGGTGCAGGATAAAACTAGTAAACTCATTATTACTTGTGATACTGGAAAGAGACACAAACCTCAGTTTCAGGAAGTTAAAGATTCAAGGCAAGTTTTTAAAAAGAGATATTGCCCATTTAGTCACCTGAGCAAAATTACAAGACTGAAGTGGGAGCTGCGCTCATTCCTGACCATTTCTGAAAACATGGCCTCGTGTGTTAATTCTTAGTTTAGTTCTTATCTATTCCGAGTTCTGGATATTCAAGCTAATGCTCTTTCTTAAGCATTTCAAAACAAGTTTGAACACTATATTTTTCCAATATATTATCTGTAAAACTTATTTCTCCTACTACGCTTTAAAATATGAACTGTGGTAAAAAGCTAATACTTTTTTATGTTAGCTAGCTGTATTTTCCATAGATTTGAAACATACAAGCCTTTCAAGTAATTTATACATCCCTGTGGTAAATGAAATGTTAAATCTAGAGACCCAAATTAGCCAGTTTTCTTCCTCAATATTAATTCTTCAAGGAAGTATATTTTTCCTTTAAATTCTTACGAAATTTTTAAAAAAATCCCTTCTTGGTTTTTCATCTCTAACACATTTGACTGTGAAATATTGAAATATTTGAAGTTCTTTAAATACACTTAAGCCTCACAGTTTATAATATACTTCAAAGCTTTCCACATGAAATTTAAAATGCAAACCAAAATAAATGGTCTTATAATGACTACTCTCTAACCTACAATTACACTGGCACTTACATTTCCCCAATGAACTAAAATATTCTTTTGTACAAGACTATCACAGTTTTCTACACATGCTTCTGTTATATTTGCTGTATTTATTATCATGCCCCAAATACCTTAAATGTATATGTATTTCTTTGATTTTTGTACTACAAATAATAATCTTATAAGTAAACCATCTAGAAATACACTTAAAAACCACACTTAATAGTGGTTCAAGTAAACACTACATTTGAAGTAAAACAATCATTCACTACATACAAAAGATTATAAGAATGATCCTGAATCTTTTTCCCCAACAGATCTTAAAGATTCTGCTAAAGCAGATAACCAGGTAAAATCAGTGGAAATGCATATTCTCTTTTGCACTTGCACACCTAGGTAAATCAGAAGAAACTTAACTGAAGTTAATGGAGTTACACTAGCATAAGACCAGCATGAGAAGAGAAACAAGATCACTTTGGACGAAGGTAATTCATAGCTTGAAACTGCCTACTGTTTTCACTGGTTTTCGCTAAAGTTTGACTAGTTTATTTAAGATTTGGTAAGCTCACTTGTAGTGCTTCTGGAAGAAGATGGAAGAAATTTCAGCTGAAAAGGTCTGCCTCCTTGCCTTCAAGGCCTGAGTTAAGTGACTGGTCTCACAATTCCACCCTATGATCTAATGTGAGGATGGAAGCAAGGTTCAGATTCTGTATCAAATCGATTGTTATCAATCGGTGTGGCTCCTTTGCCATCAGTGTGACTACACTTATTCAGGACCTGGCTCTCTGTTTCAATATTAGAATTACGGTAGTAGGAAAAAAAATTTAGACATTACTTCTTTTCTTTACATTGTATAGAAGCAGAAAAAGCTTTTTATTGAATGCCTAGTGCTGCTATACATAACTTATCACCATTATCACCACATAAACCCCTTATGATAGTATGCTAAAGTCCCAGTGATAAGTATTCCCACACATTCATTCCCTTATGTTTGAACCTTCCACTGATCACAACAGGACAAAATATTTAATGTTTAAAATTTTAATTAATATTTGAAAAGCTTTAGACTGTGACCTCAAATGTACCTCTGTCAATGCTTTCCAAAATATGTCAGGAGGATAAGGTGCACCATGTCAAACTATCATTAAAAGTTCCATGCAAAAAGAAAAAGAAACCTCACCAAAAGGAGGAGACTCTCTCCCATCCTCCAATCCTGAATCTCGTTCTCTGTCTCTCTTTCTGTGTTTGTGACCACGGTGCCGATGACGTCGGTGACTTTTTCTTCCACCTAGTGGTACATGAACTCCAATGAACAATGTTCGGTGACCTGCAAAGAAAGAGTTACATTTTTAAAAGAGACCTTGTAATATATGATGTTCCCTTGCAATACTAAAATGTCACTGATACACAATTCCCAATTCTGAGAGAACCCAAAACTGGACCACTGATGCTGTAGAGACAGGTCACTCGAATTATATAGAGACAGACAGATATTTGACAAGGTGTCCCAACTGTGTATTTCAGAGTGGCAATACAAAGTGAACCTGGGTTCTCCTTGCATTGTCCATTCAGGGAAATTATTATTCGGTTTATTTGTGCAGGAACTTTATGCATACTGAAGGCATATATGAGCCAAATCCTGACACCATCCATGTGCAGAACTCACTGAAGACTGTGGAAATACTGTACTAAGAGGTCAGGGTAAGTTCTGAAACCTGGCCAGCAAAATTCCTACACAGTCCAAACATAAATATTAATGTGCCTTATACACAAATACATAGTGGGTAGCTGTGGCAGGGCTCTTAGTGAGCCTGCCCCTTTAACAGGACCAGCAACCTGCAAGTCATGAAGGGGGCTAAGGAGAGCCTCACCTGATAGGCAAAGGGCTGGGCTTAGCCAGGAGATAAACTGGCAAAACAGGCAGTAAGATCTTGGAGGCGAAGAAGGACTGGACTTGGCCAGGAGATAAGCCCAGACCATGAAGCAAGTGGACAGCAAGATCTTGGAGGCTGCTGAGCGAGGGTCATTATGCAGCCAGGCTGCAGCTAAGACAGGCTGCAGGTGTGGCAGTAAGCAATCAGAGACCACATGATCAGGGAAGGGCTGGGTTTGGACAGGTATAATCCCCAGCCCTGAGTTGAGCCAGCAGTAGGCCATGGAGACAGCAAGGTGGCTCTAGCTGTGGGTTAAGAGTGAGCAGCACCAGCCTGGCCCAGGGTGGGATGGGGACTGTGGGTTGGGAGTGAGTGGCACTGGCAGGGCAGGGTTCTGTGGGTCAGCAGTGAGGGGCAACAGCAGGGGTGGGGGGCTGCCTGTGGGTTGGGAGTGAGGAGCACCAGCATAGCTTGGGGGGCAGGGACTGTGAGTCAGAAGTGAGGAGCACTGGCAGGGCTAGGGGTCTGCAGGTTGGGAGTAAGGGGCAGCAGCAGGGATGGGGGTGCTGTGGATTAGGAGCTAGGGGCACTGGTAGGGCCAGGGAGCTGTGGGTTGGGATCGAGGTGTCCCCCTGACAATAGTCCTCTTTTTTGGAACTGGAAATATGGCAACTCTACCCTGGAGCAGCCTCCTGTTGGTAGACATAAAATACATCAAGGCATGGCAGGAGAGCAAAGGGGGTGACTGTCCCCAGGAAGTAAGCAGGGTAAAAAGGATTTTGGGGGGTCTTCAGGGGCTACATGGCCACCCCTGGAGATGTTCCCTGATATAGTAGCTTAAACTGTTTTCATTAAAAAATGTAAATGTCCACCTTGCCACTGGATCACCCTTGACTCTTGAGCCTGTGGAATTTTAGATTGCTGATCAAGCCCCAGAGATTCGGGTTCACTTATGTGGTAAAACAGAAAAATAGCACAATAAAGCATTTGAAAGCAGGAATAATATGACAGTATGCCACAAAATGGGGCAAAGATGGGAAAGGAAACAGTCATGATTTATTACATGCTGGTCTCCTACATTCACTTCACAGTGATATATTTTCATCTCTCTCTGAGTGTTCACCTTAAATATGATATCTTTTCCCTTGAAAATAAACATGGCATGGCTAGCGGATAATTGTTGCTTTGCTGTAATCATTTACATGTGTCAATCATATGAAAAGGTCAGGTACATTAAGCTGTGAAAGCATGTGATCTGATCTCTAATCCCATGGAGACTCCAGCAGGGGCAGAAAACACAGCAAAGCATCATTTGTCACAATACATCAAAGAAATTCAAGACTGACAGGAATCTTCTGCAGAAGCAGAAATAAACAAGTAGTAGAAAAAGCTCCTGGTATAGTATTAAAGCACTGGCTTACATCCTCAGTTTTGTTTCTTATATAAATAAATTTAGTGGAGAATTAGAAAGCACTACCACTGATTTCAGTAAAAATGTCCTTTTTTTATATTTGTGGAGATTTTGAATCAAAGCTATGACCTCAATCTGAGTATTTCTTTGAGATTTTGTTTTGTTTTGTATCCTTTACTCACAAGATATAATTTACAGAGAATGGATGCTTTTTTAAAATGCACTGCAATCAGTGGTGCAAGAAAATATTAAAAAGTTACTATAAAAAGAATTTACTGCTGATGTGAACACGTATTTCTTATTTCCTTGCTAGAGACAATTCAGAACTCAATATAAAAAAAAGAGGTTGCCCTACCTAAAACTGTAATCACTTCTAAAGGCACCAAAAATTACCTTTTTATTTAATGTAATCAATGCTCTATGAAAGTCTAAGTCGGATTTCCTAGTGTGGTGCCAGTTAAATATTAGAGACGTGTGGCAGGAAGTTCCGATTAATACTGTATGCAGGTTCAGACTTCAGTTAATTGAAAAAGTTCTGGACCTGGGATTTTTTAGTCCAGCCTCCTCTCTACTAAATATATTGGCAAATCAGCACAAAACTCAAAGGGAGCTTGCTCTCACATGTACGTCTTCAGACAGAAAAAAATCAGTTTGCCTACAAAGATTATTTAGGAAACTGGAAATACACGGAAATAACACAAACAGACTTAGTTATCCTTGCTGAAAGTTCACTGAGCCCAATAGGGCAATGCCAGGGATATAAGTGTAGAAAGAAGCCTATAGGAGATGGTTGTAAAAAGATTATGAGTACATAAGAAGAGAGTTGGGAAATCTACAGGAGAAGTCTACAGAAACAAATATATATATCAACCTGATACAAGAGAAATGGAGAGAAAAAGTGAAACATCTAAACAAAGAGATATAGAGCTCTGGTTTCCTGCATAATTACAGCTACAGCTAAGAAACTGATAATTTAGGAGGAAAAAAGGATTTAGGATTCTAAATTGATGGTGAACGGATAGCAAAAGACAAGTAGAAGAAAAGGAATAAATGGGAGAAGTCAATGGAGCATTAAATGAAACAGCTCTTGATGACAGGGATCAGACAAGTAACTATCCTAGGTCTAAGCTCTCCCCTTTGTTTAACAAATTACAGTAAAAACCACATTATCTGGCACCTTACAAACCACTCTATTAACCAGCATGCTAGCTTTTAAGGTAAAAGTGAAACCAGAAGTGCCCACAGTGGCACAACCCCAGGGCAGAAGCAACCTGTGCTGCGGAGCCCCAACAGCCCCAGGGCATAGCAGCCTGTGCAGGGCCCTCCTCTCTGCCCCCCGCCACACTGATGTGGCAGGAAGGGCGGTGATGCGAACAGGCAAAGATGCCTGTTCGGGCCTCTCAGGTAACCAGCATATTTAGTTATCCAACACCCCCCATTCTCCATGCGTGTCAGATAAAAAAGCTTCTGATGTAATTGAGAAACTATTATAATGTTATCTTCAATCTGTAGGCTTTATGTGCATTATAGGCCTGAGCAGCATGAGCCATGGGTAGCAGACAATGTCATGACTTGACCTGAGCTTGATCTATGTAGCAATGGTGCAAGTTAAGCATGCACTGTCCAAAGCATGACCAAATATTACAAAAACTCTGTTAGTTAAGGGTTGTTATCAAGCTTGGCCATTTTCAAGGGGCTTAGACCAAGTTGCAGAAATGTTTCTGTACCTAGGAGGCTGATGAAGTGAAGTTCATAGGCCCGGATCTGAAAAGTGGTTTGTAAATTCAAACAAGCACCCAGCCTCATCACCAGAACTGAAGCCAACTTCCTAGAGTTCAAAACACAAAACCTGCCAACTATCTGCAGTACCCCCACAAACTGCACACCAGAATCTATCAAAGACAACAATACCCAACTACCTGTGGGGGAACATTCCTTACCAAAAAAACCCTCTGCCTCCAGTCTCTCAGGCCTGATCTTGAGAGGGAACAACTTACAAACCACTTTTCACAGCCAGGCCTATGAACTTGGTCCCTCTTCACTTTTACCTGTGCTGATACATCCCCCTCCCCCCCCCAGCCTGTCCTTCACCCCCTGACACCTCCATTTCCGTTTTCACTGACTGGCTTTCTTGCCTGCATTGCATACCAGGCCAGCCTCTTGCTTCTTTACTATTCTTTCCTTCCATCGAGGACCAGGAGACACACCAACTGCAGGTGCTTCCTCAGCCTGACAAAGGGTTTTTCAACCCAAAAGCCGCCATCCCAGGCAGCTAAGCTGAGCTCACATGGAGCCTCACAATTCCACTGCAACCAGCAAGCCTCAGGCCTGGTAAAGACGTGACAAGTCTGGGCTTTCTCCAGCCAGGACTGTGTGCATGCGTGTGTTAGCTGAAGGTTATGGTGCCTCCTACCCACCTTTCACTAGGGGATCATTGGTCCTGCCATTTACAGGGCTGCTGCACTGCCAGCAGTCCCACCAGGCCTCCCTACCCCAGCAGCATGCAGTTTTAATGGTCATGCCCAGGACCTGGGGCCTCCTCCATCCCCATAGCCCTAGCCCATACCTCCAAGTTCATTAGCATGGGAGCGAGCTCAGCAGGGACATGCTCTTCCCTTGCTGGCTGGTGATGCAGTGAGTGCCCCCTCCAGCTGAGAGCAGGGCATTAACTGGTTTTTAAAAAATGAAAAAAGGAAATAGGTACAGACAGAGTGAGGAGGGTAGCATTCACTCCATTTGCACCTGGAGCTTGGAGAACACCAGCAGTGGGAGGTTCACCTTCAGGAACACCAGCTGCTCCACCAAATCAGGATCCAAGCAAGTGTGGTGGGGTGTCACTACATCCCCAGTGATGCTGACCACCCTCTCACTCGGAACACTGGTTGGTGGACAGGACAGGTGTGTCCCCGGCCAACCGTGCCAAGATCTGGCCACATCTGGCTGTGGCTTGCCCAGTAGGCCAAAGAGTCACACAGCAGCACCTCCACATCCTCGGCAAGATAGGCAGCCACCAAGGCGCGAGCGCTACCTGCCTGACGGTAG